CTCTAAGTGAGGTGTGAAGCCAAGAGAGAATGATAGGAGTTCAGTTGTGTTACTCTGAAAAAAATAAAGTGGAATAAAAGGAGACTTTAAGAGGGGTCAAGGCAAATGCAGAGAGGACAGCTAAAAAGTTATTGTAATATCCAGGGTGACCAAAGGTTGGAGAAATGAAGAATTGTGAAATGCTATATATGTGTTTGTCTTCTTGACTATTATATTTGTATTACATATTATATTTCAACCTTTCTCTTTCTTTTTTTCTTTCTTTCTTATTTTTCTTTTTTTTTTTTTTTTTTTGGCTCTGAATGCCTTCAGGGAGGTTTGGCTGGCTTGAGTTGTGGGGATTGAACCACAGCAACCTGAGCCTGACTGCTTTGTTGAAGCAGCCACTTAAAGAACTGAGCTAAGGGGCAGGCCCCAAACAGCTCAGACTCATGTTGATCCTCCTCTCTCAGCCTCCCCATCATTGGGATTACAGGCATGTGCCACCATGCCTGGTTTCAGGGGCCAGGAGTGCACTAGCACAACTTGTGGTACCCAGGATTGAACCTGGTCCTTGAGCTTACCAGGCAAGTGCTTAGACCACAAAGCCATCTCCACAGCCCTTTTTATTTTCTATTGCTTTCAAAAACATGGGTATCTTTTTGTGTCCTTCAATGGTAATCTGAATAATTGATTTAACACGGATGAACAAATGTATATATATTCATGAGTGTTGAAGAACAGCAAGGAAGGCAAAAATAGGTAGAAAATGAGGCTTAATCGTTAATATACAGCTGTGGTAGCCTTTGTCACGTGTTTAACTTACTCTACAAGACTTGTAAATATGTAAATCACTTACTATTACAAACATCATAAGATACCATTAGAATCTATTCTTTACCAAAGAGATAGTTGAAGGACAAAAACATTAAGTAACTTGTCCAAAGATACACAAGAAGAACACCAGTAAATTAATTTAAATACTGATATGTGGAAAAGTACAAAGTGAAAAAAGATGTCAGTCATCAGAGAAGCATTGTTGGACTGGAATGGGAGAGGCAGTGTGAAGAACTAATGTGGATGATGATGGCAGTTCCAGAGAAGCAATGTGCTGTAGGTCAAAATTCAGAGAACCATGGTAGTTTTTCTAAGATGGTGTTACAAGAGAAAATGTCTCATGGAGCTCAAAAAAGTGGATAATAATGTTGCACAGTGTTAAGAGCGTGTTTCTGAGGTGTGGTCTGCTTTCAAATCCTCAGTTTCCTCCTTTAGGCAGTGTGGCATTGTTGAAGCAGTACAAACATTGGTTTCTTCCACTCTAAAATGGAAATAACAGTAACAGTGAACCTTTCATAGGATCCTTAGTCTTGAATTTCCTCTTGGGAGAGTTACATGACCAGTGTCTATACGCCCAACAGCAGATGAATGGATAAGGAAAATGTGGCACTTATACACAATGGAGTATTTCTCTTCCTGAAAGAAGGATACATTTGAGTATTTTGTAGGAAAGTGGATATACCTTCAAACCATAGTGTGAAATGAAATAAATCAGACATACAGGCTTAAGTATCATATGATTTCTCTTATCGGAGAAACTCTAAGTGCAAAGAAATGAAAAAGCAGAATAGATAATGGGAAACAGGAAAATAGAAAAAAAGGAAAGGAGGGCCAGTGATACAGCTCAGTAGACTAAGCGCCTGCTTACGTAAGTGCGGGGACTGGGATTCAATCCCTGACACCACATGCTATGCCAGCCCCACCCCCAGACATGCTGAGCCTCCCACTGAGACCTGGAGTAGTGGTGCAGGCCTGTTATCCCACTGCTGGGGAGGCTGAAATAGGAGGATCACTATGAGTGTGAGCTGCATAGTGAGATCCTGTACCAAATAGTTAAAAAAAAAGAGAAAGAAAACAGGGAAAGGGAGGGGAAGGAGATACAAAAACAATTAAAACATTATGTACATGCATCAATTGCCAACAATCAAAGTAATCATAATATATTACAAATATGAACAAAAAATTGGAAGAAGTAATCTAGAGCTGGAGAAAGTAGGAAGGGAAGAGAAGAAAAGGGGAATAAGAAGAATTAAAGGTTGTTATATACTCTATAAGATGAATGTAAATACTACAGTACACTTGTACTAATAAAAGCTTTAAATGTTCATTTGTTTTACTATGACTATGATTATTCCAACTTGTATGTACAGGACAGAGGGTAGCAGAGGCCCAGCCCTCATTGTTGGGAGGACGCCAACAAGTAGGTGAAATGACCACTGAGGGTGGAGGATGGGAGCCTGTGGGTTGTGGAGAAGTCTTCACATTATGAGATAGAAACAGCTCCTTGAATGAAGCTGCTTGTCAGCTTGGAAGAGGGTGGTAACTGAAGGTCACTGGAAATGAATGAGGCTGAGGAGAAGCACGCAGTGGGCAGCGATATAAGACAAGTATCTTTGGATTAGCCAAGGATCAAGATGTGGAATTACGAAAAGGCAGAACTCGCCATTGCTTTGGGTTTGTCATACTTCATATTTGTATTTTCATGTCACTGGGACAAACACACTCAAAATGTAATGGAATGGTAGATCCTTATCTGAAAATCACTGGGCTAGTGTGCTCCTTAACCTAGACATGTCCTTGACAGGTGACTGATTCCCAAGACTTTAAAAATAACATGGTCTGGATAACATGATCCTTTTAAAGCCATGCTGCACTATTTTTTGGAGATTTGAGGCCACTTAGAAGGGTACATAAAATGTAACAAGAGGGCCAGCTAGATAGCTCAGCAGACTAAAGCACCTGGTTAGGCAGGCACACAGACTGAGGTTCGATTCCAGGCATGCTGTGCTGGCCCCACCCCTGGGGTGTGCTGAGACCACGACTGAGACTGGGCATGGTGTTGAGTGCCTATAATCCCAGCGCTTGGGAGGCTGAAAACAGGAGAATCGTTAGGAGTCCGATCTGTGTAGTGAGACTCTGTAAACCCTGTATTAAATACATTTTTTTTTTAAAAAGTAACAAGAGTGGCAGTAGGATAATGGGATATAGTGGAAAATAATAGAGGTGCAAATAGAACCAAAAATTAAAGTGATTAAGATGAAAGCGTATGCATTTGTCCAAGTAGGTCACAGAATTATCCTTTAAGCAGTGAACCAATGCTGTAACTGAGCATGTTTAATTAGAACAGAGAAAAAAAAATGGCATGTAAGAAAAAAAGCAACTATACAGTAAATAAACAATAAAAATTACACGTAAAAATAGAAAATAATGCTTTGAAGTATGTTATTTAAAAACAAAGCAAAAAACCTTAGGGCTGGCCAAATAGCTCAGCAGATTAAAGCGCCTACAAGCAGGCGCAGGGATCAAACCCCCAGACTGCAGTGCCAGCTCCACACTGAGATGGCATTTGAGACTGAGCATGGTGATGTGCACCTGTAATCCCAGCTTTTGGGAAGCTGTAAACAGGCGTATCACTAGGAATCTGATCTAGTAGTGAGACGCTGAACACCCTGTAGACCCTTCCCTAAAAATACAAAAATAAACTAACCAACCAAACAAACAAAAAACAAAAAACAAAAAAAAAACCCTTAGAGGAAAGATCCTTACATTATGCTGTAATAAATAAAGTTTCTCAACATTTTGTAGCAAACTGAAAGGCCAGAATATGTAAAAGTGAGTGTATGTAGATTAGCTGTTAAAAGAACTATTTCTTCTGTGTTTATAACATGAAAAGCTCTGATGTTAATTTATACCATTTTGTGAAGTAGAATTGCATATACTTTTGTTTCTTCCAAAGACTACAGTAGAGACAGAAAATATTGTGTTTAAGAAAATATACATAGAAATCCCTACTAAAGCAATACAGGAAAATATCTTATTTAATAATCCTAATTAAAATAATATTTTTAAATGCTCTGGGGGAACATGGACATTGATCTGGCAGCTAAACTTTAATAAAAGTGTCATACACACTTTTAAGCAACATTTCTACCCTCAATTTGTCGTTCTATTTACATAGTCAAAACTCTTCTAATTTCGTCCTAAAATATGCAGAGATGCACCTCAGAAGCACTGAAAAAAGACTCATGCACAAGAATTTCTCAGTGAATTTTTAAAGGTGTGGAAAGGGCAGGAAATTTAACTGCAGGACGGGGTAAGGCCCAAGGTTGTTCAATGAACCCTAGGGGATGTGCCCTCAGAGCACAGTTCCCTTAATCTTTCCAGACTCAGGCAGCCAATTGTTTATCTACTTCTACACACCAAGTTCAGAGACTTTTGTGGACTAGCACAGACCTGGCTCCTGATGACTCAGACGTCCTTCGAAGAAGGGTCGAAGATGCCAGGACGCTGTTGAAATTCCAACCCGTTTCACAACTTCCCCAGAAAATGCATCCAAGAGGGCCGGGCAGTGCCGGAAGCAACCCGCGACGGTAGCGGCTCTGGGAGCTGGGTGGCACCACGCCCAGCCCTGCCCTCTGTCGCCCGCTCCTCGGGGTATAAGAAGACCGGCTGTCTCGCCAGGTTCCTGAAAGTTAGGCTCTGAAGTCGCGCTCTTCTTCCACCGCCAGTCCCGGTGAGTCCCGCAGTCCCGGGGTAGAGTGCAGGCGTCGGGACCTGGAAGCCCGTTCCCAGGCTGGTCGGGCTCCCCAGTGTGGTCCGCGTGGGAGAAGAGGGCGCCTTAGAAGCCAGGCTGTGGGAGTCCGTGGGGACCACGGGGGGCCCTTTTCCAGTCGCCGAGATGAGACGCTCGTCGCCCCAGTGCGCCGATTGCAGCGCAGTCCGCGCGCCTCGGGTCCTGCGACCCTCACCCCCCACGCGCGTCTGGCTGGGTGGGACCCGGCCTGGGGCTGAGGCATCCCGGGGGCAGGAGCGGGAGGGAGAGACCGAGAGACGAGCCCCTCGCCTGGTCTCCCGGGCGCAGCCGCAGACGCCCTCTCTCTACGCGGTTCACCCCGAGTCCCCCGCGCGCTCCGGCGGGCGAGCTGCGCGCTTGGCTGATGGGCTGTGCTTCCTCCTCAGGTCGACATGGATCTCGAAGGGGAGCTCGGTGGAAAAGCAGGGAAGAACTTCTATGACCTGGACAAGAAAAGGTAGCTGGCTTGTTACGCTTTCATACTTTACATGCCTTAAGAATTTGGGGAAGCTGGTTTCTAGCCTCCAGTTTGGAAACAGATGAGTGATTATTGCTGTTAGAATCTACCAAGGCGCAGGCCAGCTTTGGAAACAGTCTCCTGAGTGGGGCAATAAAGGATGGCTCCTCGGCAGAGTTGGGCGCAGCGCAGTTGTCTTTCTGAAGTCTTGTGAGGCTCCTAGCCCCGCACTAGCCGCTTTCGCACCTTTTTTTGTTAGATTATTTTTTGTTACAAGCAGTATTGATCCCCACACCCCTGAGCCATCCACTGCTTAGGCTTCCATCCACAATGATGTTGTCATAAACAGCAACATAAACATTGCATATTTGTGGCGTGGCAGATGCCACTCAAGTCCAAAACTACATCGAAGTTAGTTTTGTTTTGTGTTAAGTGGCAATAATCATGTGCATATAAAGTTGGTAATGTAACCACAGGGAAAAAATAATTATTTTAAATAGATTTGTTCACAATACTTTTCCTGGGAAAGTTGAAACTTCACCCAGTTGGTTCATTTGTTAGCAAAAAAAAAAAAAAAAAAAAAAAGTGTACACTGTTAAATATAGTAATATTACTAGAAACCAAGCTTTCCAGTTAAGTGAAGAAATATAAATATGTAAATCAGAGTTTAAAGAGGTTTAAACTCATATTGGAAACTCCAGGATGAAATCATGATTTTTAAAATAGTTTTCTTCCTCAGAAATAAAAAAAAAATAGTTTTCTTTCTACTAAGACACACTTTCAGTACCAAATCTCGATCTCTAAACACCTTCCCTTATTAAAAAGAAAGACCCCTCAGGAAAAAAAAAAGTAAATTTCAACCAGGTCTTGGGCAGTGAACGTGCTGGGGTGTATTTTGTATACCCCAAAACAAAGGAGTAAAGTTTAATAATGTAGTCAAAAGACACAGGAACTAGGCTTCAAGAGGCTTCTTCTAGCCAAGTCTGGGACATTCTGAACATCAAAGGAAATAATAGCCATACATGATTTTGAGATATTGACTAGAATACAACTGATGAATTCCCAATAATAGTCTGAGGGAAAGAAAAGTGAAAGAAGGTATACAACTAGAGAAAGTTAAAGGAACATTCCTTACAGAAAAATGTAGCTAAATTTATCACACGGGAACCTGCACTGTTGTAATTAATTCAGTCAAGGATTGTCACTGGATCCTAAATGACTTAGAGAAAAATTGTATTTGGTAACTCACTTAACATTTTTTTTACTACCTGTGCAGAAGGGAAATGTATTTCTCCAATGAAAGATTTTGCAGTTGCATCTTAACCAAGTGGCCAGTCTTAGTATCACTTATGGTAGAATAGACTCTGTTAAATTACTCAGCATGAGATGGAATTTGGGTATACAACACCTCAAACATAGTATGCTTACAAACAAATTTAGTATGAATCCAGTTAAGCTTCCAGATTGGTGCTATCCAATAGAGCACCAACATAAGTTGCAATTTTCTTTTCAATGCTGAGACCTCCAATCTCTGTGTATCCTACAGTTACTATTCTTCTCCACTTAGTTTAAAACTGATATATACAAGATGTGGGACATCCCATAAAATAACTCTTCTTACCCCTTTAAACAAATTGATGTAAAGAAAAAAAAAGGGGGCTACTAGATTAAGAGGGACTAAGGAGGCTAATCATCAAATATAATGTGTGAGCTCTAATTATATCAGAGTTTAAAAAAAGAGAACCACCTATAGAAACAGTTCTTGGGAAAACTGAGTGTGGATTGAATATTAGATGATGTCAAAAGTGTTCATTAACTAATAAATTGAGGTGAACTGTGTGGGAATTCCTCATACTTTTTGAATTTTTTTGTTCATTTGAAATTTTTCATATTGGAAAAGTTAAACTCATAACACATAAACAAAAAAGATTACATATAGTCTGTTTTTAAAAATATGGTAGTTCATATCCTGAAGACACAAATATTTAGATATATTTGAGTAAGAAAATTGCTATGTAGAAGGAAAATGGTAAAGAAAAGTGTTTGATGCTCTGTCTTCATTTTATTGCTGGTACTACTGTGGCTCATAGACTTTGCTTCAAAGTACCAGTTTTTAACTAGTTGTTTTTAAAGCATGCTCATCAATATTGATTTTAATCTGTTGTTAAAACTATACACTTTAATGTAGGGTTGTAAAGATATGTTTGACTTTTCTAATAGACAATTCTGGGATAACTACTATCTGGAATTTCTGTGTTTATAGACACCCTCTTTGTCTTTGTAGTAGTCATTCATAGCACAAGAGGCAGACATGATATACTGTTCAAATACTATTAGTACAAATCTTTCTTCTTATTGAAGAGAAAGTAGCTATATATCTATCGTATTTTGTATATACAGATACAAAATTGTCTTTCATTTATATCACCTTTTTTGTTCAGTTTTGTCAGAGATGAGTATTTCATTGCCATCCAAATATTGTAGGTGCATGAATTCAGCAAAATATTCCAATATAGTCCAGTAGTCCATAATAGTAGTGGGTTATCCACAGGACTGGAAATGTCTGAATCTGATGACTTGAGCTTTCCACAGCTCAACATATTAACATGCCTTCCTTTTTTTAATACCTTGTTTCTACTACAAAGACAACAATATGCAATGTATTAATTGTAACTTTCCTTCCAACCTGTTTTGAAGCTATCACATGACAATTTTTTCTCAATAAAATTAATAAAAAAACAAAACAAAAGAAAACAAATATATATCATGAAAAGAAAAAATTGACTTCTAAAAAAATAGAAAAAATAAACACTCTCTTTGAAATGATATTTTGTGAGTGACTTGTCTTTGTTGGCTCAGTGGTCCCTGCTGGTGGCATTAAATGAGAGACCT